GGCTGTGATGCCACCAAGTCAACCACTGATTCCTGTGATCAGGTAGGACGCAAAGGCCTTCGGTGAGATCCATCAGCTGCTGTAATGCTGTAGCCTAAGACATAAAATGTGTGTCTCCAGCTCTTTCCATCCAGACCAGTCAAAAGTGTTTGTTTTTAAAGCATTTACAATATAGTTATTAATTGAATTAAAGATTCATTAAATGGTAAGTGGCCTGTATTTGTATAGCGCTTTACTCAGTCCGTAAGGACCCCAAAGCGCTTTACACTACATCCAGTCATCCACCCATTCACACACTGGTGATGGCAGCTACATGTAGCCACAGCTGGGGCGCACTGACGGAGGCGAAAGGTAAATCTATTAATGACCCTGAAATGTCGTCTACAACTGTTTGTTTATGTAGCTAAAAACCGAATTTTCCCAGTCCTGGATGACCGAGAGCCCACAAAGACTAACAATATTATGTTTATCTTCACTCCTGAAAATTACAGTTGAAAAGTTGTTTACACCTGGTGTGACTTAGAAAGTACTGGTGTTGGTATGAGATGTGATTGTAGCGAGGATGCAAATATTCTGTCTTTGTATCATCATCACAGATTATATCGATTTGTCTTCTCTGGAAAATAATGAAATGATCTTGTTCTTGTTCAGCTGACTGGGCAGTGTCAGTGCAGATCAGGCTTTGGAGGCCGAACGTGTACAGAATGCCCTGATAACACATATGGAGACCCTCTGAAAGGCTGCCAGCGTAAGTCCACCACTCGTTCGGGAGTTTTCTTTCAGTTCAGTATCATTGATATAGTGCCAGATCACAACGAGGGTAATGGTAAAAGATTGTAAACTCTGCTGCTTCCCAGCATGGATTAGAGATCATTTATGATTCGCTGCTGGATTTCAAAGTGTGTTCACTTACAAAGATGTGCACAGCCCGTCATTTTTATGGTAGTTGTTGACTTTCAATGATTTCTTTGAACTGTTCTTTTTCCAAGATGAAATGATTGCACATCTTTAATAGCTTTAAAAAATAAGTTCATTCTCAGATCCATGTATGGTCAAAATGATACAAACAGGCTGATAGACTCGTATCTTTTAATATGTGGTGCTGACCGTGTTTTAACTTGACAAGGCAGGACTTTGCTTAGTGATCATGAACTGACCAAGAACAAGAGGAAAGTGTCAGGACTTCATTGAAGACATAATAAGGAGAGTTATAGATCTGCACAACTTAGGGAGGTCTGCTGGACTTATTTCGAAACGACTGCAGATTACATGAGGGGAAATTAGGATGTTCAGTAATAATCCAGGAACCACCAAGCCTCAAGCCTGCTGCGAATTGGAAGCTGCTGGTACATCACTGTCCACAGCAAAGCTACTGAAGCTCTCACCGAAGATGGACTCAAGTTTAACTGGCATTCGTAGCTGCCCACATGAGTCCGGCCAAATGCCTTCTGGAGATACGTTTTTTTGGTCAAATGAGACAAAGATTGAGCTTGTGACTGGTGACAATGACATATGTTTGGAGGGGTGAGACGCTCAAACCAAAGAACACTGAACCAACTGTAATCATACTCTGGGGCTACTTCACTGCCAGTGGCATTGTTAGATTGTACAAAGTAGATAAAAGTCTAAAAGTTATTCAAATTCACCTCAAATCAATAGAATGGTTGAATCTTGGACACGACTTGGTGTTACAGCAGGACAATGAAACACAATCAATCCACCCGAGAAAAAAGTTCAAAGAAATCATTAAAAGCCCAAATTTAAAAAGAATGTGATGTAAGCCCTCTGAGCATGGCTGAATGTCTGCAACCTTTCCATTTTGAAAAACGCTTCGTAACTGATCTGTATGACCATCCTCTGTCTTAGCCTGTGACTGTGATGCCAATGGAACCCTCCCAGGAGTTTGTGACAAGCAGTCGGGAGTCTGTTTGTGCCGACCGGGCGTCTCTGGAGCTCGCTGCGACTCCTGCAGTCGTGACCGCTGCGACTCCTTCCCTGACTGCGAGATGTGTCCCTCCTGCTTCTTCAGCCTAAACGCTCAGCGAAAGAATGTCAGCTTGGTCCTGTTGGAACTTGCTTCCAGATTATCGTCTCAGTCTGGAGGCGGCGCTGACTTTGGGCCCCGCATCAGTTACCTGGAGGCCACTTTGAAAGTCATCCAGAACTCCATGTCCTTCTCACCCATCACTGATACACGTGATGCTCTTTCTAAGCTGAAGGAGCTCAGGTGGGAAACTGCTGACGAACTTAATTCTAGGTTTCACAAATACGAATCACCCTTAAATTCAATCACCTTACACTGTTTTTTCATTGATAATATCATCTCCAGGTACCAGGTTGATAATGACCTTTCACCCCTGACAAAAACTCCTGGTCTGGACTCTGAGCTGGACAAACTGCAGGACCTGCTGGAAAACTTCATGCTGGTGTACAATGCCAAGAAAGATGCCACAAAGAACCCTATCAGTCCCAACACAGGTCAGAAAAGACTAAGCATTCGCTGCAATTCTACAGATGTGACTGATGACTATTTTTGTATCACAACAGCATGAAATCCACTCATGTAGACTTTTCCTGTCTTTGCAGGGGCATTTAACACCATCAGCTACGCCTACGATAACTCGACAGACGCCACCAAAAAAGTTGAGGCCGGGAAAAATACCATAAAGGAATCAACTGGTGTCCGAGAAAAAACTGAGGACATTCAGAGCAAAGTTCAGCCGGCCAACACCAGAGATCTGGATAAACTGAACAACAGCATGGCCTCCCAACCCAACCTCACTCCTGTTGCCAAACAAGTAACTAGTAAACTTCTTGATCTACTGTTTAGCTGACTTGCAGCATATGAGTAAAACTGAAAGATCATTATCTTAAATAAGCATCCATATGCATATGTGTCATATTTCTCAGTGTGAGCATAATCCAGGCCATTAATCATAATCTTTCTTGTTTGTCCTGAGATGGAGTGAAAGTTCATTTTCTGTCATTCACACTAGTAACCGTCATTGCCCTCCACCTCTAACTCTGTTTTTCAGGTGTGTGGCAGTGTTCACTCCGAGTCCTGCACACCTCTCCAGTGTGAAATTGAAGATTTGTGCACACCAGGGGGAGACGCACCCTGTGAAAAGGGGGGAAAGTGTGTGGGCGCTCTGCCTCTGAGCAAGAAGGCAGACGCTGATGCCAATGATGTGAGGGAAGGACTCAACAAACTCTCTGGGAGGATCACCGATGCTGCAGAGAAGGTAGACACTTATAGCTACATACAAATAATGAGTTTTGTTATTCACACAAGTCATTCTTAATCCGTTTACACATCTCAAGTAGTTATTCAATGTCAATGTGTGCACAGCTGCAGAAAACACAGGAGATAACCAATCAGGTGAGGCAGTCTACAGAGAAGCTGTCCAGTAAGCTGCAGCAGGCCAGAGATAAACTCGAAGACGACCTAAATGAGACACGCAGCGTTGTGAAAGAGCTCAAAGACTTCCTGTCAGGTACGACTGTTTTAGGATTGTAGCATGAGTGGAACCACTTTGAGATGGAGGGTGAAACTTCTTTGGGTGTAACTGATGCTGAGATCAGTCACCCTTTAAACACCACCACAGTGCAAACTCCAGCTCCAGTACTAAACTCTAGCTTTTCCTATTTTGGTGACCAGACCCATCCGCTAACCTGACCCATGTCCAGGAGGTGAGCGACTGGATCCTGAATGCCAAGCTGCCCCCCAGATTGGCAGGGCTTAAAGGGAAGCTGCAGGAGCTGAAGGATCTGACAGCCAACCTACCAGACAGCACAGCGGTGCTGAAGGAAGCTGAGCCACAGTTAGATGCAGCCAAGAAACTGCTACAGGATGCACAGGATGCCAGGTTGATGCTCGCACTTCACTGTCAAACTGTTGAATAAGATGCTCCGTTTTTTAAAGAATTATCATCTTTGCTCCCACCGTTTGTACAGACCAAGCTGGAGACCGAACACATGCTTGTACAGCCACGTGAATGTCCCTAATGCAGAACTAACAAAGTCTATGTCTTCATGAACATGAGCATTAGTGCCTTACATTTAATCAGGGATTCGTTTTTCCAGACTGGTTTAATCCAGTCCTTATTTTTTGTCGTTTTTACCCATCAGTCCTTCAAACTAATGGTTTCTGTGCTTGCAGGGACACAGCACTGGGAGTGAAGGCTGATGTTGATGGGCTGCTGGCAGGCTTCACCTCAGTGAGCCCTTCCCTTGCTGAGCTGGAACACAAATTGCAAGACAAAATGAATGTCCTAGAGACCTTGAATAACAACCTTACTAAGGTAGAAAGCGTAGACGAAACAATGGTCTATTTATTACAATAAAAACTGCTTATAGGCTGAGTTTGGATGGGTTTTCTTCATACAGGCCAAAGACCAGCTGGTGCCAGTAGAGAAGGCTCTGGACGATGTAGCAACACTGATAAAGCCAATGAAACCCCAGCTGGAAAAGCTGAGAGACCTGCTGGAGGATGGAGGTCAGCAGGCTGAAGATGCACGGGAAAATGCAGAAAAAGCTGATAAAGAAGCAGCTGCTGGAAATCAGGTAAAAGATCTGCTGTAGCTGCTTTAGACTGACAGACGAGCACTGACTTTAATAAGGAAGAGAGAAGAAGAACCCAGTGTGAGCTTCTATTTGCATTTATCAGTCATCTGTAAACGTGAATATAAATGAATGTAATGAGTGTGCGCACACTTGAAAGCTCATAGTGTGTTTTTGCAGTGCAGACTGGTTCTGGGCTTTGTGGGTCGTTGTTCTTCATGCTGCTGAATAAAGTCGTGGATATCTTCGGTAACAGATTGTCGCTAACATTTAATGAAAATGCTTTCTTCTCAGTATTTGTTTATATTTTTAAAGTTACAAATTTAAATAAAAGTGAAGAATTCACATTTCAGGTAGGCCAGATTAAACTGTAGCTAGGTTTATTTAGCTCCTATTTACACTACACTGCCAAAGTATTTCCTCACCCATCCAGGTCATTGAATTCAGGTCTTCCAATTACTTCTACTTCTGTGTATATAATGAAGCATCACATATGCAGACTGCTTCTACCAACATTTCTGAAGGCATGGGTCGCTTTAAGAGGCTGAGTGAATTCCAGCGTGTTACTGGGATACGATGTCACCTGTGCAACCAGTCCAGATGTGAAATTTCCTCACTGCTAAATATTCCAAATGTTAGTGGTATTTAAAAAACGGAAGCGACTGACAGGAACTCAAGCATGAAGTGGTAGGCCCTGTAGAATCACAGAGTGAGCAGCAGAGGCTGAAGCACATAGGACTCCAAGCTTCATGTGACCGTGAGATTAGCTCATGAACAGTCCACAGGGAGTTTCACAGACTGGGTTTCTATGGCTGAGCAGCTGCAGCCTAGACTGACATCACCCAGCACAATGCAAAGCGTTGGATGCAGTGGTGTCAAGCGCGAGGCTACAAAGGCTCTAAAGCAGGGTTTGGTGACTGCCAGAGGAGTTCTGTGCCAAGTGTAAAGTTTGGGGGAATTATTGTGTAGCATTGTCTTTCAGGAGTTGTGTTCTCCCCTTAATTCTAGTGGAAGGACTTCTTCCTGCTTCAGCGTGCCGATGCATTTCGGACTATTTTGTGAGAACACTTGGGAGATGGTCTGTGCACCAGAGCCCAAAGCAAGGTCCATGAACACAAGCATGAGTGAGTTTGGTGCAGAAAGAGGAAAACTCACACTATGAGTTTTCTTGTGCAACCTCAGTGTTTGACCTCACTAATGTGCTTCTGGAAGAATGGTCAACATTCCCATAAACACTCCTGAACCTTGTGGAAAGTCTTCCTATAAGACTTGAAGCAAAGGTTTGGCAACATCATATTAAACGCTGTGGATTAAGACTAAGACTGAGTGCCATATTATGTGTGTACTTGTAGAACCTGTTGACTCTGGAGAAGCACCTTGACCATCTTAAAGAGAAAGTTGTTCCCGGGACAGATGGTGAGACGGAGCCAGCGGGGGATCGACTGAACAAACTGCAGCAGGATGCAGGAGCTCTGGCTAACATAACCCAAAACATGCTGCAGGCTCTAGACGGTAATTTAACCAACATTTCCACTAAAAGAAAAAAATTCACTCAATGCATCCTCAGTTCATTGGGGAAAGTAGGACATTTAGTCATAAAGCATAAAGTGTTGATTGTGAGGTTAGTAAGAAAGTTTTCATATCAACAGTTCAGTTGAATTTTTACAGGTAACTTTGTTGTTGCGTGCTGCTACCATGAGCTAACCCCCGCTGACTTGGTGGTCTAATATTATGCTTCTGTGGACATTCTGTGTGGCGCTCTGTAATGACTAAATATATCAGAAATCCAGTTGTACGGTCCTGACACAGACAGTGTGTGCCACTCCCTGTAATGCTCCTGGTGTTTGTTTTCTTCTAGGAAAAGCCGACTCCATCCAAAGACTGCAGGACGAGATAGTTCAGAAATCAACAAATCTTGAACAGCTCGATGTCGAGCTTAAAAGACTTCTGACACAACTCCGTAAAAAAGCTGACGATCTCAGTACCTGCCAGGGCTGAGCTCACATGTAGCAGTGCAGTTAGTATGTAACTGTAATATAACACTGTCTGAGGAATTACAACCATTTTATACATACTCTCTATTTTAAAGACTCAAAAGTAATTGGACAGTTGACTGACAGGCAGTTTCATTGCTGCACGCGACATGTTGCTCATTAAAAAGCTGAAAGATTTGATCCCAAATGATAAATTTATATTTAGTGGCTGTTCACAAGAACTAGGAGCTCCGAGATAAGTAAGTAGAGGCTGTCATTAAAAATCAAAATAAATCAGACAGACAGATTAGAAACAATAAAACTCAAATTTAAAATTTTGTGAGTTTACGTTTTAGACAATGTAATTCCTGCACAGGTGAATAACAGCATGACAGACTTTATCTGAAATACCCTGTGGTGGTGTACAGACGCAGTATTCATAGGTATAAGTATGAATATGCAGTATAACAACTCTCACTGTACCTTCTACTGCTCGTCGTGCTTGGAGACCAAAGTTACTTCAGCATGTACAGGTTACTCAGACCTGCGCTGTACCAGCTGCCTTTGAATGAGAAACATACGACAAGCTTTAATGGAAATGAATTTCAGCTTCATGAACACCAAAGCTGATGTTTTTGGTCCTATTTGAATGAAACCTTACCTGTATTTGTGCCAGTCACATCTCTCATGGTTTCATATTGCTGCCTGTATATTTATCACTAATCTGCAATCTGTTTCAACGTTTCATGTTCACAGCAACACTGCATTTTTCCAAAGTGGATAAAGGCTGAATGTTCCCTTCTTTACCGATTTGAATCTGTTGTTCATGCATAACAGGCAGGAACACAACCGGTTTAGTGAGAAAATGGTTGTTTGCTTGTTTTAAATGGCTGTATTTAATTGTTTCTATAATTTAAAAAACTGCATTTCACTACATTTGTGGAATAAAATCTATTCTTTATATCAACTTGTGTCATTTTATGAGTTCAGTTTTTTTTAACAAGAGCAGTTGGGAAACATCAGGATAACGTGTACGACATGTACGTGTAACATTGTAGTGACAGATAAAGGCTCATCATCATCAGTACTGCAGTATCAGTGAATTCAACTCAAAATGTAATTTAAGCTCATTAAAAATGCCCTCCAGCGTAACTGACAGTAGACAAAATCATTAATGCAAGTTTAAGACAATAACCTGGACACGTTTCGAATCAAATTGATAATAACAGAGCGATGCTGGACACAAGCAGCTGTGTTAGTGTGACGCCCTGCATATTTGAAGCATTGCAATAAACTTCTGTTCTTACTGAATCTGTAACATTGCCTTGATCTGCCTACATCATTTTTTAAATAGTTTATGTTGTTAAATGAGTTTTGTGTCACTGTGCACAGAGAAAAGCTCACCTGGTGTAGTGGTGATGTGTTATTCACCACTAGATGGAGACAACCTGGCACTGGTAGTTTCTCTACACTCTACATTTCACACTGAAAAGCCTTGGTGGGAATTTTTGTTTACATAGTAAGCAAAAGAATACATGTCTTGAGGTCTTTCCAGTGTTTTCAAAATTGTGTTTTTCAGTTACACGTCAAAATTTCACACAGACAAACACACACAGCAAAATCTCCAGTGTTAAATTAATCTGAGCAGTGCAGATTTTCTAACACTGGAAAATAACTCAAAATGTTAGAAATATTCCAGTGTTAGAAAACCAGCACTGCTCAGTGTTAGCCATTGTTAATCTGCAAAACTGACTAGGTTACTTTTAAACATATAACACTGTCAAAAGTGTTCATTTAACACTCAACAGTGTTGTATTTAACCCTCAGAGGTGTGGACCCATATAGACACTCTCCAGTGTTAATTTAACACTGGAGATTCTGCTGCGCACACACACAAAACAACAAAATGTGTCAAATTACACGTCTCATTCATTTTTTGAGAATTTCACCACTTTTAGTTTTCATTTAAAATAACTTTGTCAGGTCAGTAAATAGCTGCCACATAAGTACAAATCTAAATCATACATGTGTATTATAGAAAAAAGCACAAACCGTTGTGCTGTTAGTTCATAATAAATGGGTAGGGGTGCATAGTCAGTAAAAGCCACCAAGGCTCTGCAGAGCTCCAAACCTGCTCTGCCACAGACAGAAGCATCAAAAATGTGCACTGGGAGCTTCATGGCATGATTTCTACAGCCAAGCAAATCTATATGTGTGTGGCCAAGAACCTTAGTCCATGTAGAGCATCTTAGCACAGTTTACTTGTGTCAGCTAGTGGGAGGGCAGAGAGCGCAGCCTTTACATTGTTTTATTGTAGAGTGACAGGAAGTGAGCTTCTAATCAGGCAGAAATATTGACAGAAGGAAATATTTTCAAATAAAAAAAAATGTAAATTTTTTAAATTTCAAAGGAAATACATTGATGAAAATCAAAGAAGAGCAAATGTATGTGATGTTCCATTTTCCTGAGAGCTGATTGGCTGTGATGACTCCTTCAAGTACTACATGCTACTTTGTCCTGCTAGTTAAGCCTGCTGTGTCAGGATGAGGTCGTGGACGAAAGAAGGAGGACCCAAACGCTGGACTCACAGGTAGGTGAAGATTGGTGTTTTATTGTCAACGGAGTGAACAAACAGAACAGAAGTAGGAAACGGCTGGCCGACTGACTGAATGGATGAATGAAAGACTGACTGACAACTGACCGGCTGACCTGACGGAACTGAACAGAGGACAACCTAACAGCGGCGAGAACAACATCACAATAACATCAATGACACGACATTGGACTGGTTGAACTGAGGGACATAAATACACAGGCTGAGTGATGAGAGATTAGAACCTGGTGAGTACACAGCTGAACATAATGACCTAATGATAAACGGGAAGAGGACGGAACATAATGCACATGGACCAAGGCTAACACAATAAAACAGGAGGTGAAGCAGACAGAATATAAACAGTGAACATGAACTAAGAATACTGGGTCAAAGACCCAGAAACCCTGACAGTACCCCCCCCGCAAAGGCCGGCACCCGACGGCCAAAAGAACGAAAAACCAGAACAGGGCGGGCGGAGGGGGCCCAGGACGGAGGGACGGAGTCCACACAGAGACAGTTCAGGAGGGCGGCCACGTGGAAGGCAGCAGTGACCACTGAGCCGGTCCGGTGGGCGGCTGCGGCGGTCGAGACGAGACAGTTCAGGGGGCCGACCGCGCGGACGGCAATGGCGGCGACGTGGACACAGTTCGGGAGGCCGACCGCGCGGACGGCAACGGCGACGATGACCGCGCTGGTCCGGGGGCCGGCCGTGCGGAAGGCGATGGCGGCCACTCAGGCGAAGAGGGTCCGGGGGCCGCCCACGACGGCGATGGCGCCCGGCCAGTGGCCTAGCCAGCGGTCTAGAAAATGGCCGTTTAGCTTCAGACCCAAACGAGGCTGGGCCAGGCGAGGCTGAAGGCTCGGAGGCTGAAGGCTCTGAGGCTGGAGCCGGGCCGGGCGTGGGTGCAGCTGAGGCAGAGGCCGGGCGTGGGTGCAGCTGAGGCAGAGGCCGGGCCGGGCGTGGGTGCAGCTGAGGCAGAGGCCGGGCCGGGCGTGGGTGCAGCTGAGGCAGAGGCCGGGCCGGGCGTGGCTGAAGCGGAGGCCTCTGGCTGGAGACAGGCAGGGCCAGTAGGCGCGGACGCCTCTGGCTGAGGAGCGGCCGGGCCAGCGGGTGCGGAGACCCCTGGCTGAGGAGCAGGAGAGCTCACAGCTGGCTCTGGGTGCTGTGGCTGCAGGTCCGGGAACTGGACGGGATGGTGGACAGGCGACTGGGAAACAGGAGGCGACTGGACTACAGGGCACTGGGCGGCAGACTGAGCTACAGGTGACTGGAGGACAGGTGGAGACTGAGCTACAGGTGACTGAACTGACTGGAGGGCAGCAGGAGACTGGACAGCAGGTGAGTGAACTGACTGGAGGGAAAGCTGAACAGCAGGTGAGGGAACTGACTGGACTAAGGAGACTGATGGATAAACAGAGGCCGGTGAGGCTAATGGCTGAGCTAAAGAGTGAGCTAGTGAAGGGGACAACAGTGCAGCCTGGGCTAATAAAGCTGGGGCCTGAGCAGGGGACACCTCAGCTAGCCTAACCAGTGATAGTGCGAGGGCATGAAAAGCTGGATCAGGAGGTGGATGAAGAGGTGAAGTGGCAGGTGGACCGGTTAGCTCTTCCAAGCCTCCAGGGGGGTCAAGCTGGGTTCTGGTTGCCCTCAACCTGGGCGCTGGGACGGGCACGGAAGGTGGCTGGACACCAGTCACCCCCACCTGAGAAACAGAAGCAGGTGTGGAGGCAGACCGGGTCACAGCTGCCCTCCTCCTGGGGGCTGGCACTGGTGTGGGCGCAGGCTGGGCCCCCATGCTGGTGGGAAATGGCTGAATAATGGGTGTGGAAATAACGACTGGGTGAGTGATACTGACGGGTTTATTGGGGAGTGTTCTGGTCTTCCTGCCACCGCTATTTACAGTCTTTAACTGAGCTGTCCTTGGGGAAACAGAGCAGAAAAAGTCTACCCAGTCCACATTGTCGTCCAAGAGGGACGTTCCCCATGAATCGGAGAGGCGTCTATTATTTATCTTATGTGAAGAGTCAACTGAGGAAGGTGGCAAACAGTCACTGGGACTCACCGCCGGGAGTGGCTGGAAATAGTCCATGTTACGGTGGCGTGTGTGCCGCTTTCTCCGGGTAGAGGAAGCGGGCGGGGTAAACAGATGAGCCTCTGGCACGGGAGCCTCCATTGAGCCGAGGTGGTAGGCGGAGCCACTGTGCCATGGCGAGGTTGAAGGTCCGGTGAGTAGAACGGCTGGCGGGCGAGCGAGGAGCGGAGCAGCGGGAGAGCGAGCGGCCGAAGCTTGGCCTGTGACGCCCACTCTCCGCGGCGAATGCTCCGCTGCAGGTGAGGCAGCAGGTGGAGGACCGCGGCGTCTCCGAGGCCCGCCCAGAGCCAGACGTGCTCCCTCTCTGAGAAGAGCCGCTGTTTCCACCTGAGCTTCTCCACCCAAATGGAGAGCGCTGCGTCCTGCCGCTCGAAGAGGTCCGAGTCCGCTGGGTCCACATCGTGTCTTCGTGGCACGGGTCGTGTCATTCTGTCAGGATGAGGTCGTGGACGAAAGAAGGAGGACCCAAACGCTGGACTCACAGGTAGGTGAAGATTGGTGTTTTATTGTCAACGGAGTGAACAAACAGAACAGAAGTAGGAAACGGCTGGCCGACTGACTGAATGGATGAATGAAAGACTGACTGACAACTGACCGGCTGACCTGACGGAACTGAACAGAGGACAACCTAACAGCGGCGAGAACAACATCACAATAACATCAATGACACGACATTGGACTGGTTGAACTGAGGGACATAAATACACAGGCTGAGTGATGAGAGATTAGAACCTGGTGAGTACACAGCTGAACATAATGACCTAATGATAAACGGGAAGAGGACGGAACATAATGCACATGGACCAAGGCTAACACAATAAAACAGGAGGTGAAGCAGACAGAATATAAACAGTGAACATGAACTAAGAATACTGGGTCAAAGACCCAGAAACCCTGACATGCTGTCTGTTCTCAGGCCTCCTCCTGTTTCACTGCCACCACCAGAGGGCTCCACTGACCTGCCTGCTGACATCAGACCACACCCCTGTGTCATGTGACCTGGCAGGAGTACCAAAGCTGGACTCAGACCTGGCCCAGGCAAGTTCAAAGGCAGCTGTGGTAGAGAGAGCAGGGAGTATAGTAGAGCACTGGAAGGATGAGGTGGAAACAGGAAGCGTGTAGATTCAGTGGATTTGGCGTCCTCCATCTGTCTCCATGCTCTCTTTACTGGCCTTCTAAAATTCACTTCTAAAAACTTCTCCTGTAGCTGTGGAGCTGCTTTTGTTTAAATGTTTAGCATTTAGAATTAAACTTTACTGTCATTACACATGTCCAATA